CCTCAGGTGTGCCCAGGTACGCCCATGCACCCCCAGGTGTGCCCAGGTGTCCCTCAGGTGTGCCCAGGTAACCCCAGGTGTGCCCAGGTGTCCCTCAGGTGTGCCCAGGTATCCCTCAGTTGTGCCCAGGTATCCCTCAGGTATCCCCAGGTGTGCCCAGGTATCCCTCAGGTGTGCCCAGGTGTGCCCATGAACCCCCAGGTGTGCCCAGGTATCCTCAGGTGCGCCCATGCACCCCTGGGTGTGCCCAGGTGTCCCTCAGGTGTGCCCAGGTGTCTCTCAGTTGTGCCCAGGTGTGCCCATGAACCCCCAGGTGTGCCCATGAACCCCCAGGTATCCTCAGGTGCGCCCATGCACCCCTGGGTGTGCTCAGGTGCCCCTCAGGTGTGCCCAGGTATCCCCAAATGCACCTCAGGTGTACCCAGGTGCGCCCAGGTGCCCCTCAGGTATCCCCAAGTGTCCCTCAGGTGTGCCCAGGTGTGCCTCAGTTGTGCCCAGGTATTCCTCAGGTGTGCCCAGGTGTCCCTCAGGTGTGCCCAGGTGCGCCCATGCACCCCCAGGTGTGCCCAGGTATCCCCAGGTGCCCCTCAGGTGTGCCCAGGTAACCCCAGGTGTGCCCAGGTGTCCCTCAGATGTGCCCAGGTGCCCCCCAGCTGTGCCCAGGTGTGCCTCAGTTGTGCCCAGGTATCCCTCAGGTGTCCCCAGGTGCACCCATGCACCCCCAGGTGTGCCCAGGTGTCCCTCAGGTGTACCCAGGTGTCCCCCAGGTGTGTTTCTACCCCCCCAGGTGTGCCCAGGTAACCCCAAATCCCCCATTTTTCACCCCATTTCCACCGGGTTTTTTTTGCCCTCCCCCTCCCGGCTGCCCCCAGGTGTGCCCAGGTGTGCCCAGGTGTGCCCACCTCGGAAGTACCCCCCGTAGGCGCCCTGCCGCTGGTCCAGCACCCGCTCGTTGTTCTCCACCAGGTTGCCCAACTTCTCGGCCAGCTGCAGCGCCAGGTTCTGCGTGGCCGTCGGCTCCGTGCGGTGCATCATCACCGTGGCCGTGGGCTGGTCCAGCGAGGCCTAAAGGTGTGCCCAGGTGAGACTCACCTGGCCTGCAGGTGACCCCAAAATCC